CTGTGCTGTACCCCTCTCTGCCTCTCTGTCCAGCACATTTGAGGACGAACGAGCGCAAGTTTTCCAGTAGATCGGATTTGTTGTACAAATCACAGCTGATCACGCTACAGCCGAGCAGAGCTCAGAATTGAGACGGCACATGCCACTGCCGTGACCAAAGCTCAAGTCCATGAGTTGCGAGCCCGACGGCCTCCTTATATATATTTCTTACAGCAACATAATTCAATGATTGGCAGAGGACTTTCCTTGGAGTGGAAAACCAGAAAAATGAACTGGTGTTCTTCGCGATTGTCTCCATGGACATACAAAGTAAAGAGCAGTCGTAAGTTGGAAGTTGGTGAATATGTTGTTCAAATTTCGAGAACTGATATTACAAGATTCAAGTCTTGCAGATAGCTTTCGGAGGACGAGGATAGATCATCGATCCTGTCCACGGTGTTTGACTTGGTTTGGTTAAGCTCTACATCTTCTCACTGCCACTCTTCGTCCCGAACTTAGAGATGGATCTGTTCTCATGCGCAATTGTAGAGCATTCTATTGGAGAGTCTTGAACCAAACACGAAGATTTCATATCACAGGATGCGTGTTCAGGTATAACTGGAACTCGACCACTCGCGCAAGGATTTCCCGCTGCTAACTTTCTATAAGCTGAGAAGCTTCAGAGATTCACGTACCTCCAAGTACTGGCAGAAAATTGAGAGCACTGCCCAATGCTTTGAACTGATCGGATTGCTTGTCGGTACTTCTTATCTGAGAAGAAGATTTTTTCAAGAACAAGGTACAAGAGCGTCTTGCTTTCTGTACAAAGAAAGAATGCCAGCCAGACGTTCAGGATCAGTCCAAGAACCTGTCATTATGATAATCAAATGTAACAGTTCGCTCTTAGAGATTGTTGCTTTCCTCCATGTGCAACAGACACTTTTAATCCGTGAAAAGCTGTCTTCTACAAAACTGAATGTTGTCTCTTCTGTACAGTTTGAATGTTGAGGGTCCTCTCGTATGTTTAGCTCGGGAATTTCCTTGCGTGCGTCTTGCCGATGTTTTCTGTAGAATTGATAGCATAATTGAAAGCTTGCTGCCTCAAATAAACTCGTATGTGAACATACCGGGACCTGTCTTGCATCTCAAAAATGATATACGTATGCCTCTGTCCAAGCTTGGAGAAACTTATCCAAGCTTAATATGTGTACAGATTAGAAGCTACTGCAGGTGAGAAAGACAGTCTTGCAGTTTTGAAAACGTTGATCAAGTTGAAGTCCTGTTCAGATCGAATGGTGCATTTTATTCAATCGGAAGTTATTGTAGGTAAATAATGGAAAAGATTTCACGACACGGTGGTTCAGGGTAATAATAACGTCATGAACTGAGGCTATGCATAGCGTACAAGCCTACAGTAAATCCTTTGGAACATAGAAAATTAGAGTATTGGGCATATACTGTGAAGTTTCTGGCTTTACGTTTTCCGGGCTTCAGCTGCGGCCTACGGCCTTCCTTGGGCTTCAGTAATAATCCTAAGCTGCTATTAAAGAAGGAGATATTGTAAAGCGCACTGGATCTATTGTGGATGTTCCTGTAGGAAAGGGCATGTTAGGTCGTGTGGTTGATGCGTTAGGAGTACCCATTGATGGAAAAGGTCCGCTTCAGCCCCTGTCCGGGATGTACCGCAACTCAACGGAGAAGGGCTACCAAGCCCCTGGCTTAGAAATGGCTCCTGGCTTAGACAAGGGCCAACGATAACAGGGTACGGAAGATTTTTCGCTCTAACCATTATGCTAAAAGTTCCCACCTGGGGAAGACCTTGGAAGCCCAATTTCTAAGAAAGGCTTTTTATGGTGGACATACGGATCCTGTTCACTTACCGGTACACCAGGTTCAATGGGATTCCAGAAAAGCGGTCCACGTTATTCTTCGTAGCCATCTTAATGGGAGTAGAGCCCACTTCAATAGTCAGTTTGTAAAAAAGCGAATCGTCCGTTCTTTCTTTTGTGAACCGGCATGTGTGCTCAGATCCCCTGATCATCTGTTAGCTGCTGAAGGGTCAAAGTCAAAAACTGGAAATATCTCTAGACGTCAAGTCTGTTACACAAAGAATATATTGTCTAGCTGAGATCATGCAGAGTCCACACAAGCGCGTCACTCATGGATCTTACTTTCCTAAATCCTAGCGATTGATGAAATTCAGAGGTAATAAATAATATCTTCACCAGCTGAATTTTGATCTTCAACCATCAGATCTAAATTTATTATGAATTTTTTCTGAGCCCTCCTTTCATTTGTGTGAAAATTAATCAGAAATTTCGAAGCCTTTGGGGTATTATCAACTGTTGCAGCTGTGTTCCCTCGAGAGGGGAGATTACTAACCCGTCCGCCACCAGAAAAACACCGCTATGATCGGATAGCGGAAGGAATTTTAGAAGGCTTAGCACTTGCTTGGTACGAGGATTGGTTATTCTTTTGTTTCCGGACCGAGTAGATCTCTTTCCACTAGAGACCATTTTTGACCTCGTTTCCATTTTCAGCTTCAACACATTAGATTATATCCCAGCACATGCCTGGCACCCCCCCAAGGAAAGCATTTAGACGTCTTAGCAATTTGTGCAACTTAAGCACTGAACTGCTACTCCCTATACAGACCTAGTCCTTATAGGGCGGATGCCGCCCCGAAAGTTGTAGTTAGGGACTTGACCGAGCCAGGCCCTCTTTTTTGGGGTAAGCGCCAGCCTGCCCCGCCTACCCCTTCCTGTATTTGGCATTCCTTCGAGGATCAAGCTTCCTTAATCTGTCCTTTCAGTATATTATTTTGCCCTACTGCTGCATGTCTCTGATTCTGTGGTACATGCATAGAACGGTGACATCTCAAATAACTATGGTATGAACTTTTGAAACTGCGAAGAACTCACTCAGAGCCTCAATTCTCATGACCTGGAATAATCGACGCATCTGAAATCCATAGGGAATAGATGGAACCAAATCGGTATCATGGGGCTATGCCCCGATAGAATGACAATAGTTTTGGGTCTGATTGACCGATGAATACAGTGATTGATGGACCGTGGGATCGAATATCACAGTCAGAGGGAGAAATGAATGGAAGAGGGTACTCCACAAGCTCAATACGATTGTGATAAGAGGTGCACTTGATTTTTGGCAAGTCTGAATCTTTATTTGTTTTCGCAAGTCCGGGTAGATTTCATCGAACCGTGGAATAGCCAGTATAGATCATAAGTCTTGCTACTATAATTATGATTTATGTCTGATGCTTTCTAGCAGATTCTGATCTGACATCGACGATACACAGTTACAGTATACTTACTTATCACTGACTCAGTCAAACTGCTGACCTCGTGGAATAGCCAGTATAGATCATAAGTCTTGCTACTATAATTATGAATTATGTCTGATGCTTTCTAGCAGATTCTGATCTGACATCGATGATACACAGTTACAGTATACTTATCTATCACTGACTCAGTCAAACTGCTGACCTCAGAAGTAAAAACTTCCTAAAGCTTGATTCTTTTATTGACTGTTCTTGTCTCCACTGGCTGAAACTACGTCATCGACACGTAAGATTGCACTTCCTATGGGGCGTGAATCATGTATGCAAATGAGGATCATTGGTAATATAAGATTCCAAATCGGGGTCGGAGTTCATATTTTTCTATTGCCTCCCGACTCAGTAGATTTGCTCAGGGTGTACAATTATGTTTAGCTATTGGAGAACGAGCATGTCTGAAAAGATTTAGCGTATGTTGTATCCGAAACTATTTTCAGTATCTTTAGCTATCCCTGTGTCTTGAAGGTGAGCCGTAGATTCCTTGCATCAAGAAGGCTGAACACTTTTGCTCTTGTTGCTATTTTGCCAAAGTTAGGATTCTTCTTTCTTGCACTAATTTGCACTGGACTGCATGCTTCAGGCAGACATTACACTTGGTCTTCATATTGCATTTGACCTTGACCAATCTAAATTCTTATTCGTCAACAATACGCACTTTTTAAGCTGACTTCGAGTTTCTCATTTGGAGTTTTGTTATCTCGTTGGATTCTGCTGGAGGTGGCCGTGACTAAAATCCGCCACCAGAGGCTATTTCGACTTGCACAATGAGTCTTCCTCGCCAAATCCAGACCATGATTCGAGGTACATATGACTCGCCATCTCTTCCTAAAGAATTTAGCATCTTGTTGGACTTCGTATCCATCACTTCTCATTCCCTTAAAGCTCTGAAAGCTAGGTCCTCCGGCTTGCAGCATAATTTATATCATGCATGGATTTACGTATACATCTACAGAAAGCACGTTGGAAAGACTTGACGAGCGGATTCATTTCATTATTGTTAGAAATCTGGAACAAAATCTGCCTTAGTGGAGAACATAGTTAAGGACTCGAGATAAAGTGATGCTGGAACTTTAGTTATAGAATCCTTCGACTCCAAGTGAAAGCACGAGCTTACGTCTGCTTTACCCTGGACATCATCAATGCAGAAGTTATTAGGTCCTGTGTTAACTGGGTTTTGCTTTTCCTCGCATCTACCGGGAGTTTTCTACGGAGTGGTTACACGAAACAAAAAAGGATAGCTTGGTAGGGTGGCAAGATCCCTCGCCAATCCGAAAATGTCCACCTGTCTTAGCTAACGTCATCCAGTCACCGATTTCCAGAGCGACGCTACAGTGCTGCTGAAGTTCTCTCTTTTTCATGTATGAAATGGAGAGGCCTCTGCTTCATTTCATGTCGACACATTTCATGTCGACATGAAAGTTCTGTCTGACACTGTCGACATGAAGTTCTCTGAAAACGACGAAAGAAGTAGAGAGAAGTCCGTCGAGATATTCGAGGTTACATCTATAGCAAATCCTCTCGAACTATATTTAGAAAAACACGCGAACTAAAGCAGACGTAACCTCGAGACATATATATCTATTTGACATCGCTTCTCGCCTCGGTAAAATAATGTGATCGAGATTTGCCACATTTATTTTGTAACATTTGCAGATGAAAAGGTCATCCTGTCCAAGTGCAGTAGGGATTCAAGATTTAGGACCCATTTCCGAAATTGCACCAATGCTGCTGCAGTAAGCGCGGGCCTCTCCATTTCATATGCACCGTGTGTCGACGCGTACTGGGACGGAAGGCTCAATCACTTAATGCATAGTGGAAGTCCGTCAGAGTCCGGAAGTCAGCTTCAGAGAGTTCGCTAGTTTTAATCTTTGAGATCTCACAACTCACTTCCGTTCGGGTTGCGTTGCCTCTGTGATCATGGCTTGGCGGATGAATGAAAAAACGGTTCTTCTGTTTCTTGTGATCGTGTGTGGCTTAGGGGTGACGTCTTCTGAAGGAGTGAGTTCGGTGATCAAGGTACTCAGTTCTGAGAGTGTGAGTAACTGGAGTGAGATTGTCAGCGCGACAACGGAGGGTGGAGTCCACAATGATGTGGAGCGATCTCTTAGAGAAGTTCTGAACTTCAGCCGGGATGATATTTATGCGATCCGGTCTAGCACCTCTATAAAGACGATTTATTACTGCCAGTCCGCTTTCAATTCGACGGGCTCCTGGCGATCGGGATGGCAGTGCGAATCGGCAAGGCCTGCACGTCTCCCGGGATTTTTCCACCACCATTTCGTCGTTCATCTGAGAGGAACAAACTCCGAAGGCGAACTCCTTAAGCTCTCCACCAGAAAGTTACACATATCTGAGAGTGTGAGTAACTGGTGGGAGATTGTCAGCGCGGGATTTTTCCACCACCATTTCGTCGTTCATCTGAGAGGAACAAACTCCGAAGGCGAACTCCTTAAGCTCTTCACCAGAAAGTTACACATATCTGAGAGTGTGAGTAACTGGTGGGAGATTGTCAGCGCGACAACGGAGGGTGGAGTCCACAATGATGTGGAGCGATCTCTCAGAGAAGTTCTGAACTTCAGCCGGGATGATATTGATGCGATCCGGTCTAGCACCTCTGTAAAGACGATTTATTACTGCCAGTCCGCTTTCGCTTCGACGGGCTCCTGGCGATCGGGATCGCAGTGCGAATCCGCAAGGCCTGCACGTCTCCAGGGTTTTTTCCACCACCATTTCGCCGTCGTTCATCTGAGAGCAACAAACTCCGAAGGCGAACTCCTTGAGCTCTTCATCAGCGCCGAAAAGGAACGTACAGGACAAGGAGGAGGGACTTCGGGGATCTACATCAACTTAATGACCGAGTGTGAGCTCCAGATGCTCGAGGATAATACTTTATTAACCTGGGATGTTTTCTCGATCCAGGTGCCGCTCGATGTTCTAATCACAAAGCTTTTTGAAGGACATGATACAGGCTATAACCTTGTCAACAAAAATTGCTGGGATTACGCGAAGGGGGCGTGCAGAAGTGTATTCCTGCTACTAAGCCAGCAACCTGGTGCCACCCCTAAGCAGAAGCAAATCCTCTTAGAGAAGGCTGACAAAGTGAGTCTCCTTGTAAACAGAAAAGCCACTTGGGACGCCTTTAAAATATATGCAATGTTGTTCGGGATATACTATTTCATTGTCATGATCATTTACTTTGTCTGCATTTGTATTTGCATTGCATTAGACATCGATTAGCGATTTAGGCCGGATGGAACTGTTGTAAGATGCGGTTAGTATCTGAGCGAGGCTAACTTTAGTATTAGGATGCTCTCCTTATCCTCATATACTTTCAATTAGTTCCTGTTGTTCATCCAAGCAATACATTTTAGGTTTGAGTGCATCGTTGCACTCAAACCTAAGCAGCTATTTAAATGTTGCCTTTTCTTCAATAAATCATACTGTCTGTAACTCTCAACATGGTATCAAAGCTCTCTTTCTATCGTCTAGCTGCTCATGATATGTGATAGTAATCACAAATTTTCTTGTTACTCCACGAGCAGTTGCTCTGTAGTATTTCACTAGATAGAGAGTCCTTCCAGCCGCCATGGAAGAATCTCGATACAATTCTGCTTTCACGTTACGCCCCGAGGAGAAACTCACTAGGCAACTCAACTACATGAATTGGTCAATCAGTTTGAAGACGATGTTGAGAGACAAAGGATTATACGAAGCCACTGTTATCGATCCAGCTTCCCTTGGCGGAGCTGATGATGTTGCTATTCGACGCCTACGAGTTGAGGCCATTGCAATGATCCAAGCTAGTGTATCACTTGATATCCTTTCGTCTATTGCTGAATATAAGGACAATCCCTTTGAGTTGTGGATTTACCTGCGCATTCTTTATCAGTCTAACAATGCTTGGCGACGTCTTATGCTAACCGAGAAATTGGATACTGTCTAGCTTCGTGCTCCTGTTACAGTCTGCGTCTATCTTCAGACCATCCAGACTCTCAAAACACAGCTCGCAGCAATTGGACATTGTACTTCTGATAGTGATCTTATTCACTACAGACTTAAGGGGCTCCCCTTGTCCTAGGCTCCGTTCGTCTCGAACTTCAGTAGCAATCTTTCCCGCGACGCCAAAGTTCAACTTTACTTCATGGATTCTCACACGCTGATTACCTGAGTTGTCGTAACACTCGCCGATCAATTGGTTCTTACTTATTCAAGTCGGCTGATGGTTTCATCTCTTGGTACTCGAAGCAACAACCTCCTGTCTCAAACAGTACAACAGAAGCTGAATACAACGCTCTGTCCGAGGCAGCTAAGGAGTACGTTTACATGCGACAATTGATGGCATAACTCCAAGTCAATCCTCTAGCTTCAATTCCCATTGCATGTCAGGACTCTGAAATACAAGCTAATCTGAAGCACGCCAACACTCTAACCTCAGCTGATTTACATTTGTCGTGTGACAATCAAGGTGCAATAAAACTCGCTCACAACCCTATCTTTCACGCAAAGACAAAGCATATTGAGGCCAAGCATCATTTTGTGGGAGAACGAGTTTTAGAAGGAGAAATTTGACTTGATTACATACATTCAGAAGACAATCCAACACACCTTCTCACAAATCCTCTTTAGCGCCATAAGTTTGAAAAGCATAGAGATTCTATAGGGTTAAGTTCATTAGCGAAAGTACAAGCAAGTGCTACAACCTGATATCTATTGTATCCAGATTTATTTCTAGATATGTCATGAAGAAATGTATACATATTGTAATGCTAATGTTGTAATGAGGGGGTGTTGTAAAATGCAATTAGTATCTGAGCGGGACTAACTTTAGTATTAGGATGATCTCCTTATCCTCTTATCCTTTCGATTAGTCAAGCCAAGCCATACAAATTAGGTTTAAGTGCATTGCTGCACTCAGCATGTGTGAGTAGCTATTTAAATGTTGCCTTCTCTACACAAATAAAAAAAATACAAAAATTGATGGTTTGAGGAAATAACACATTTTGAAGGCTACGAAAAATTCCTTGTTCCACCAGATCCCAAATTGAAATTCGGCTTTTGTCATGTTTTGCAAGAACTCAACTTCTATGCCTTTGTTTCCGAACCACCAGATCTCAAATTGAAATTTAGCATTTGTCATGTTTTGCAAGAACTCAACTTCTATGCCTTTACTTCCGAACAACTCTTTGCATTTGTCACCCATCCAACATTTACCTTCAACTATCCTCATCAAGGTTTGCCGCAATTTAGTCTTGCCAACAAAATAATAAAAATCATAACATATACAATTTGTTACTTGAAATATTTGTACTGATATTTGATATCATATTTTTTAATAGACAGAATAAAAATTAAACTACATTGCATTTCTCAGAGGTTTGGGAAATTTCGATAAATTTTCCGAATTATATACCAAAACATTAAAATTACTACAAAATTTTTAGATATAATCTGAATCAATTCGGATTTTAGTTCTCTTTTTCTGCTATCTTAGTAATATTTTTACACGATTCCAAATACATCTAGACAAAAGAAAAACTTTGTGTGTATATTCTTAAGCTATAGAAGTTCTTTAGAAGTTGAAGCTTAGATTGCCAGTTTGCATACACTGAGAAAAAAACTGAGAACTGACAAAGCACCATACCTGCTCTGGAGAGCCGCATAAAAAGAGTCGACCAGCTTTTGCATCTCCAAATTTTAGTTTCGCTTCCCTGAACACCGCCATGTAAACGGCCCGCTTCTGGTTCTGCTTGAAGGCCTCTTGAATCAGCGCCTCTTTTCCGTTCGTTTCCCACGAGGTTCCTGAGACATCTATTTCTTGAAGAGTCAAGTTTACTTCCACGAGGCCCATCAGGTCTTTGAACGCCTCTTCGTCGAGTTTGGAGTTATACAAATCCAAATGTGTGAGACTTGCGTTCCCTCGCAAGCACAAAACCAGTTTCTTCCATACTCTCTTCCAAAGATCTTCGTTTTCAAACACTACTTTCAGTCCCTTCAGGATAGAATTTTCTCCAGTTTGTCCATTCATCGGGATGATCTTTTCGGACGTATTCTGTTGAAAAGTATCAAGATGAAGGACAGAAACATATTGGGTAGACCTCCTCCACAATATATTGAAAGATCTTAGAGATTTTATTTCCCCGCGCAGTACGCAACCTAATAGGTTTAATGATAATATTAATTTTGCTTCCCTGAACACTGCCATGTAAACGGCCCGCTTCTGGTTTTGCTTGAGAGCCTCTTGAATCAGCGCCTCTTTTCCGTTCGTTTCCCACGAGGTTCCTGAGACATCTATTTCTTGAAGAGTCAAGTTTACTTCCACGAGGCCCATCAGGTCTTTGAACGCCTCTTCGTCGAGTTTGGAGTTATACAAATCCAAATGTGTGAGACTTGCGTTCCCTCGCAAGCACAAAACCAGTTTCTTCCATACTCTCTTCCAAAAATCTTCGTTTTCAAACACTACTTTCAGATAGAAGTTTCTCCAGTTTGTCCATTCATCGGGATGATCTTTTCGGACGTATTTTGCTGAAAAGTATCAAGATGAAGGACAGAAACATATTGGGTAGACCTCCTCCACAATATATTGAAAGATCTTAGAGATTTGATTTCCCCGCGCAGTACGCAACCTAATAGGTTTATTGATAATATTAATTTTGCTTCCCTGAACACCGCCATGTAAACGGCCCGCTTCTGGTTCTGCTTGAGGGTCTCTTGAATCAACGCCTCTATTTCATCTGTTTCCCCCGAGGTTCCTGAGACATCTATTTCTTGAAGAGTCAAGTTTACTTCGAGGAGACCCATCAGGTCTTTGAACGGCCCGCTTCTGGTTCTGCTTGAGGGCCTCTTGAATCAGCGCCTCTTTTTCATCTGTTTCTCACGAGGTTCCGGAGACATCTATTTCTTGAAGAGTCAAGTTTACTTCCAGGAGACCCATCAGGTCTTTGAACGCCTCTTCGTCGAGTTTGGAGTTATACAAATCCAAATGTGTGAGACTTGCGTTCCCTCGCAAGCACAAAACCAGTTTCATCCATCCTCTCTTCCAAAAATCTTCGTTTTCAAACACTACTTTCAGTCCCTTCAGGATAGAATTTTCTCCAGTTTGTCCATTCATCGGGATGATCTTTTCGGACGTATTTTGCTGAAAAGTATCAAGATGAAGGACAGAAACATATTGGGTAGACCTCCTCCACAATATATTGAAAGATCTTAGAGATTAGATTTTCCCCGCGCAGTACGCAACCTAATAGGTTCAATGATAATATCAAGTCATGGACACTCGAAGTTGAGAGTTCAAGCTCCACTGTGGGGTCCTTGACATCGGAGCTAGCACCACACACAAGAGCTTCTATTTCCTCCCGCATCCGTATAAGGTTTTGTTCATAACCAAAATTTATTTTAATTTTTGCTTCTATAGCATTGTCACGTATGATTTCGCCGAGCTGGTAACATTTTCTAAGACCCGTGTAAACCTTTGCCTCCCGGTTCGCCTGCGATTTCATCCTCGAGGTTCGAATCTTCAAGAGACGGGTTGGCGACGTTTTCTTCCTCTTTCCTGCTTCCAAGTTGACCGAGAGTCCTCAATCGTTTATGTACTTTGATAGGTCCTCCCGGCTCAGCAGTACCTTCCTGGTTAGGGTTCGAGCCATTTGCTTCAACACTGACGGATCTAAGTCGTTCGCGTTTGATTTCAGACTCAATAACGCTATTCCCCGAAGATGGAGACGTGAGAAAATTTCCATTTCCACTGTCCTCTGTAGCAATAGAATCACAACCGCGATTTCCAGATAAGTGCTGTCCCTCTTTCCTCGCGACAGTGCTGCTTGACTTACTGACCTCCAGACCGATATCATTGAAGTCAGGAAGAGCTTCTGAATCTTGAGGTTTAAGAGAAGATTGGATAACACATGAAGGCTCGGCGTCTAAAGAGCTGTCCGCATTGACTCATCCGCAAGGAACTCAACGTCACTTCCTTCAATGATGGGTTGGAAGTAAGAAGTTCCTTGAAACAGCCTCTGAATCTGTGCATACGCTCCAGCCGAAGACGCTCAATGGATCGGTTGCGATCATCTCCGGCCAAAGCTTTCAGCAACAAGGCCCCTCCCCACTCCACCTCACGTAACTCCAATTCTTTCAAAAACGAGCTCTGGATCAAAGCCT